ACGAGCAATAGAATTGGAGATAGAATATTTTAAAATTCCCATTGACACTGAAAAACGCGCTGCCCGTAATTTACAACTGTGGCATCCAACTAAATGCGAGATTTTGTGGACGAACATCCTTGAACATGTTGCGTATGGGCCAATTTTTATAATATACTTTTCAAACCGATCTAATTCTGGCCAAATTTGCTGATCATTTGGTTATCAGATAAGCCAAGGCCAAATGATCAGCAAATTTGACCAGAATTAGATCGGTTTGAAAAGTATATTGTAAAAATTGGCCCATTTGGGTAAACCATACTCTCCGTTTTCACTTACGGAAAACTCCGTTCCTGGTATGCCTGTCTGGTTTGGTGATCGAGTTATATCACTTCCTATAATAATAATTCATCAATTTCAGGTACCGTGATCTGAGTTAAAGTTAAGCCACTTATGTCTGTCCGCTTTTGTAATTGTGAACAACAATATATTTCCAAGAGTAATGTACGGACGTTAGAACGTCCCCTGATACTAGTTGAATTATATACACCATTTGACAGCGAATTTGCACAAAAGAACAGCCAATTTAGTACAGATGAATATTCAATTTCGTACAAGAAAATAATGATAACTTGTAATCTAATTTGAATAATCTTGATACCATTTGAATCATCTCATTGAGATGATTCAATGGTATAAAAATTATTCAAATTAGATTACAAGTTATCATTATTTTCTTGTACGAAATTGAATATTCATCTGTACTAAATTGGCTGTTCTTTTGTGCAAATTCGCTGTCAAATAGTGTAAATATATATTTTATCAACCATATTTAATTAAGTCTTAGTAAATATAAATATATTTATTAAGCATATGTAAAAAAAATAGAAAAAAAAGCATTAAGAAAGCTAAAAACAGAACAAACTAACTAGATAAATTAATGATTATTTAATCTAAAAATAGGTGCCTTAAGATAATCAATAATATTTTTATTCAAGGCTATCTGCGAGAGCATTAATGTCAAAGAAATCAGAAATTACCAAATATGCAGTACCGCCACTAATTTGTGCTTTTACTTTAATAGGAGGAAAGTGTTTCTTTAGTCGTTTCTCCATTGCATTAACAATCTTTTCATTGTTTAGTAATGCATAGCCTTGTTTCACAAATTCTTGATACCATTGTCCATTTTCGTAGTTCGTAAATGGCTCGCAGTAAGCATATTGACCATTACTAGTGTATTGAATTTTAACTTCTGAGATAAATCTGCTTATCGCTTCATTAATAAGGGGAATCGATTTTTCACAAAATTTGTCGACTATTGTGGCTCCTTGTTGTAAATTACGGGCAGCGCGTTTTTCAGTGTCAATGGGAATTTTAAAATATTCTATCTCCAATTCTATTGCTCGT